TTGTTCCGCAGGGCCAGAGGTGCTTCCAATTCCAGTTAAGGTATGATCCTTTATCACAGCCCATAGTCATGTATCACTGCTTCACTCATTACTCCAGTTTTGGCTACCTTCGTATCACTCTTCCAAGCAAGTACCCACAAGTTAGATGCAGGGATGTTGGTGCTGCCTCCAGGTCACCCTAATTGGAGGACTAATTTGCACAATCTTCTGTATAATGTAACCTTCTGTAACGCTGCTATTACACGTAATGCCTACACTCCATAATCTGGTCTCCTTCTGAGAACTCCTTATTCTAGTTTCGTACTGCACTTGGACTTCCACAGAGCTTCACATTCGATTTTATGGCTCCCATAGGTTACAGAAGCAAATTTTATTAAAATTTGTCTCCAGCCCAACTCGAACCATTGACCTAGTCTGTGGGAGGTTGGGAGTTTAACCACTAAGCTATAGGACCCAAACCCAAGTGGTGCGTGATCAATTCTTGAATACTACATTTGTTCTTACAAATTAGACTGAAGTTAAATTAATAAATACAAATATGCTCAAGTCCTTAAATGTTCCTGTTACAAAAATACTTGCAGTACATCAAAGAGATGCTACTAAGGCTAAGAATGCTGATTCAGATACGGCAAATAGTCTTAAGGCAGAAGTGGGTTGATCTTTAGTATAAGTAAGCATATATAATTATTATACAATTATAACATATATAACTAATTATCTTAAACTAATTTAAATAATTTTATAAATTATTAGAGTCAGAGTTAAGTTTAGAATTTAAATTAGCTCAAATTAGTTAAGTTTTATATATTATAATCTTGTAATAATTTATATATACTTACCTATACTAAAAGAGATCTCAGAAACATTATTAGCTAAAGGTACATGTATTATGTTAACAGCTAATTTGTAGACAGAAGCAGGTTTAGTTAATGGTTTAATAGGAATTATTCAAGACATTTTGTTTGAAGAAAATCAGACACTGCCTCCACTTCATACTGCAGTTTTTATTATATTTGATGATTATAAAGGATCTACCATAAGCAATTTAGAAAACGTAAAAGTTGTTTTGATCATTCCAATTCAATATGTGTGAGAAGCTAAAAATAGAATAACATATTTATGCTTGCAGATTCCTATTCGTCTCGCATAAACAATTACAGTATACAAAAGCCAAGGCCTTATCTTATTCAAAGCTGTAATAGATATTAGTAAAAAAAAATTCACTGCTAGTCTTTCTTTTGTAGCAGTGTCTCAACTTCGTGCTTTTCAAGATATTATATTTAAGCTATTTAGTTGTGAAAAGATTTAACAAATTAAGAATTGTAAATGGGTGAAAGAATAACAAGAGGAAGAAATGTGGTTGACTTCCTTAATATCTAATAATTGAATATAGTATTTAGATAATAATATCAAATTTATTACAAAATAATGAATAGATATTTTAGATTCAGTTTCAATTCAATTTTTT